TCTTAAGGAGGCTTACGCCTCCTTGTGTTCAGGAGGCTTACGCCTCTTGCATTCTAAACTACGCCTCACGCCTCTAGGTAGTGGAATGCCTCGCGTCACGCCTCCGCGTTTTAAAACATTACTTCTTATACACCCCTTTAAATTTTCTACTAGAACCAGGCCCACAAAGACTACTCTGCAGACAAGAAAAAACTTCTATAATATGTACAAATCATAAAGTCTTGGAATTCTTTCATCTTCTAGCCCTACACACTCTAGCCTTTAAACAAAAGGTGCCCACTTAAGAATCCCCAAAAATGCTACACCATTGGGCCTTTAACTCCAGAATGTTGCCTTTATTTCTTTTCAATTTCACCCCCAACTGACTGATCATAATCTCAGAAGTCAGAACAATTTGATGCCTGTAGCAATGACTTATGACACCAGCAATCTCTCTTCTTCTAGTTTCTTTTTCAACTAACCCTTCCCTAACTTTGTTGTGATCATCAAAACGAACAAATGAGCAAAATTTCCTTCTATGTCTGATACTTGAGATTCCAGAAACCCACCAGTTCTAGAATTCATATCATTGGTGGGTATCATTTGATCTATTAGTCTTCAATGACTGTTTTTTTTTTTTTTGCTCTATGATAGGTTAGACTTAAAATTTTATTAATATATCTTACATTACATTAGTCTTCAATGACTGTATATAGTGCCTAGCATCCCATCTCTAGTTTTAATATATCTTAAGTTTTTGCACCTTATTTCTTCTTACATTACATCTGAGCTCAAAACAAATTGTCCCGCATTGCCCCTTGTTTGGCTAAAGAATCCACCAAGCTATTTGCAGACTGTCAATCCAATATAGCCACGAATTCAAAATCTGATTTCTTTCATTATGTGCTTGTACTGCCATAAGTCTTGACTGTTTCCATTCATCCAGTCCACCACTATATTAGAATCTCTTTCCACTTTTGCCTTTATAAACCCTAGATTTCTCCCCAGTCTTAGTCCTTGCTGTATGACTA